GTACTGTAACAATTTCCTTTTTTTCTCACCGATCATTATGCCACATGACCACATAGCTTTTAGACTTCTATTTTTGGACAGAATGACATTGCCTAAATCTAACGATAAACCAAGTCAAATCCTGAAATAGTAATAATGAATTTTACAAATATTAGAATATTGGTATGACGATAGCTATAGTATTTCTTCAAAAATGTCTGTAAAGTTCTTCACAAAACTTTCGAGTGATTTAACAAATCTTCTTGAAACTGGAGAAGATCACGATGTATTAATCGAAGTGGGTGAAACACCAAACCATCAAATTTTTAAGGCCCATTCAATTATTTTGAATTCTCGATGTTCTTATTTTCGTGATAAATTGATTATTCATGACAAGACGAATAATATCAAACAATTCAATAATCCACATATTTCTGTTGCTAATTTTGAAATAATTATTAAGTTATGATTATTCTATTTGTTATTGAATTATTTTTTTCGATTTAGTAAAAAAAAATTTTAAATGTTGTTCTCTTTAATTATGTAGGTATATTTATGGTGGTATTGTTGCATTTGATGAAATAGATGCGCCTACACTTCTTGGTCTTTTAACTACTGCTAATGAATTTAGTCTTGAAGAATTGACTAGTCATGCGCAATTAAAATTGGTTAAGGATCATGGTTCCTGGATGCATGAAAATTTCACTTATATTCATAAAATAAGTTTTGAAAGCGATAACTTTGAAGCTTTACAAGAGTTTTGTAATAATATTATTGCTAAAGATCCAAATATTCTATTTGATTCTGAGGACTTCATAACTCTTTCAGAAAATGCTTTAGTTTCTCTATTGAAACTTGATAACTTACAAATGGATGAAGGAAAAATTTGGGACCAAGTCATTAGATGGGGATTGGCTCAAAGCCCTGATCTCGATTCCAATCCTACGCAATGGCCAGATGAAAAATTTTTAACTTTAAAAACTGTACTCAAAAATTGTTTACCCCATATCCGGTATTTTCAAATTACTGGTTATGATATTATGGAGAAACTATATCCATATCAACGGATCCTCGAACCTAATTTGTGGTACGACATTCTGACAAAATCTATGATGCCAAATAAAACTATCACCTCAACCATTTTACCGCCACGAGTAACTTCTGATATTGCATTGCCACCAAAAACTGATACAACTTTAAATGGTATGTAAGTGTGATATATTTTCCTATTACTGTATTAATTTAATAAATCTGTATATTCTATTTAAATTATCAAAATGGTTACATGAATACTTATATCTGTTAAATTTACACAAACTTTTGATATTTCTAACTTTTTAAGCACCAAAAAAATCAGAGCTTCCATCATCTTACACGGCTGTTTCACCTACATCAGATGTTTGCTCTGATAAAATCGTTCAAGAACCAAAGCATTTAGTGTCTCAAAGTGCTATTTACAAAAAAAACAAGCTTCCATCATCATCTACTGCTGTTTCACCTACGTCAAAATACGCAGATGTGTCAATATCAGCACCTATTGATGCTCGTCATGATAAAACCGATTCAAATGCAGGGCCTATAACACCAATCAACATGGAACCTATTTATAATCCAACTACATTTAACTGCAAGCCATCGCACGTAAGCACTAGTTTACATGCATACCTTTTTTTTAACACTAAATATTTCGTGAATAATTTTTAATCATCATTAATTAATATAGGCACGATTCTTCATAATCAAATCTTATAAAGAGGATATTATTTATAAATCAATAAAAGTATGTTTACGATGACCATTTTTTACTATATAGTGTGGTTTTGCCCTAATATCAGATATGTTATAAATTTTATCGTTATTAGGATGGAACTTGGGGCAGCACAGAAATGGGTAATCGTCGCTTGGATAAAGCATTTCGTGATAACGCAGAAAAAGGCCCAATTTATTTGTTTTTTAGTGCCAACTCTAAGTAAATAATATACAATTTATTTATTTGACTGCCAATATATTTCATTATTTATAATTATTAGAATTTGTTGTTCATTCTTATCTATTATTGTAATTTGTTCAGCGGATATTACGGCGGTATGGCAGAGATGCTTACTCCAGTGGATTATACAACATATTTTAGTGCTTGGACGCAAGATAGATGGAAGGGAGTATTTAAAGTTAAATGGATTTTCGTTAAAGATATTCCTAATAAGAAAGTAAGCCATATTAGATTGTCGTATGTATTGCACAATTTAGCCATCGTGTAATTTTATCACTTAATGTTCAGCTAATGATTGAGCATAAATTTCGTGGGACACACACAGAAACAACGAGTATAAACCTGTCACAAATAGTCGGGATACTCAGGAACTGTTTCCTGAAGCTGGACGCGAAATGTTAAAAATATTTTTCAATTATCGTAGCAAAACATCAATACTTGATGATTCTGAATATTATGAAGCCGAAATGAAAAAGGAAGAGATAGTACCAACAAGTTCTGAGATAATGGTTTTAGATACCTATGAATCCTGGTCTGATATTCATTGTGGCGATTTACACGACTAATTGTGAAGAACTGAATTTAATTTGTTTTTGTAAGAAAATTTTTTATAACTTATATTACAAAATGGTTATTGCATATATCAGAAAATTTTATTACAAATTACAAATCAAAACTTTAGTACAGTACAGGACAGCAAAAAACATCCAATAATTTATTCTGCATATAATTTTATAAAAGTGTTATAACTCAAGCAATTTAATCAAAAATCTTTAACAAATTTGTTATATTTTGTTTATACTATGATTCCGTTAGAATAGGTTATTTCTTTTATCTTAACGTTTATATGTGTTTGAAATTCGGCACTTAACGCTAATATATAATAATTACCAGAGACTGTATTCAGTACTACGTATTACACCGAACTACCATAACACGGCTCGTGCATAACTGATTTACTTTTGCGACGGATATTGTGAACGATTAATATGAAAATTAGTGTAATATTTCCAGAGTCAATAAACAGAATCTGTTTAAAAATTTTTACTTACCCAAAATAAATGTTTTCGATACTTGATAGTGCGATTTTTACTCTGCAGTTATTTATATATAATGATCATTTGATACTTTAAAGTACTAAAAAAATTACACGGTTAAAGGTCTAATCCGATGAATGGTATATTCGAATATTATATTCAAATATTCAAATATTGATATGGGGTCTTTGCCTCAAAAATCACCTTCCGACATTTCCGATCGGGTTAATTCGGACAAAATAAACCCGAGTACCGGTTCATGTTCATATGTTAATCATCTTTTACTTTTATTGATTCAATAGTTATTCAATAAACTATTGAATCAATAAAGTTAAAAGATGATTAACATATGAACATGAACCGGTACTCAGGTTTATTTTTGTCCGAATTAACCCGATCGGAAATGTCGGAGGGCGATTTTCAAGGTAAAAACCCCGTATTATAAAAATTTAATATTATTTATAGAGGTTGCGTCTTATATTTCACTTATCGTTATAGAAAAGTTAAAGGTATCACGTTGAATCACGATCTAAGAGTGTTATTCATTATATGGTGTTAACTATATATCATGAGATTTGAGTATTTGACTAGACTATGAAGTGCGTCATTTGTCATTTCTTATTATAAAATCATATGGATAACGTCAACCCATCCTCTCTGGGTTGGACATTATCTATACGACTTTACAATAAAAAAAACCAATTAAACGGTTAACGGTTAAATAGTTAAACGATTTAGAAAAATTTTCAACAATTCCAATTCCTACCGCTACTTCTACGCACGTTATTTATTTTGAAGTTATTGACATGTGGACATTTCCGAAAATAAAAAACGAAATCTCGCACGCTATATCGTTCGCACAAACCTATGATTTCATCATTTCATTATATTGAATATAGAATCTGACTTAATACTTACGTCATTTTGTATCATGTATGGTGAAAATCATCTAAAGATATAAAAATTGCTATATACTCTTCAATAAGTATTTCGATTTCGCAAACAATACTTAGCTCTATAGTTTGTATAATATCTCAAGTATTGTTTTTGCAAAGTAGCGTTTTTTTTTTTTTTTTTTTTTTTTTTTTAGAACAAATTTTAGCAACGATAATTGGAACTGTGCACATTTTTAAACTAGTTCTCGTGATTGATTCTGTGCTGCCAAGGAAAACCTGTAATCGGACTTCAATTACTCTATACATTGTTGAAAGTCCGATGACAGGCAACACTCATATAATTATATAATTTTATATTGTTTAAACAGTTTATAAAGAATAAATTAAAAAAAAAGTATATAGAAAGTTTTATTAGGTCGTAGGACTCCACTATTAAAAATAATCAAAATTCCCCTTTAGTTTAGATAAGTTAGCATGATAGTAACCTAATTCTATCTATTTTTCAGAAGTCGTTATTATGCTAACTTCTCTAAAACTAAAAGGGATTTTGATTATTTTTAATAGTGGAATCTTAATAAAACTTTCTATATACAGTCAAACCCCTCTATAGTCACATCTTCGGGATACAAAAAACCGTGATTGTAAAGAGGTGTGACTAATATAGAGGTATTTTCTATATATATAGTTATAAATAATTGTGGCAGATTAAAATGAAATGAGGAATAGTGTAAAATAGACAAGCCACCAAAAAAATACAAATTTTTGGGGTGCATTTTTTTGGCATTTTTTTAGGGTTAGGATTAGGGTTTAGAAGCAGGTTTTATAATAAACAAGTATAAATGGGTTTTAGAGGGTCAAATAGAAACCCTTCATTTCATTTTAATCCGATTTCATTATGATCTGCGACAATAATTGGTAAAAATAAATTTGTAATTATACCAATTTTGTGACTATAGAGGAGGTGACTATAGAGGGGTTTGACTATACTTTTTTTTAATTGTTTGGTTTGTTTTAAAAAGTACTTTAAACTGTATAAAAAATATAAAATTAAATCGATTTAAACAGCCAATCATATGAAAGTCTTTATATGAGCACTCATATATTAGCAATTCTTGAATGTGTGCCAGGCTTGTGGCGCAGATTGTCTGAACTACGAATTAAATTTCAAGATCAGGTTCAAAAATAGCTTATTTCTTAAAAAATTGCATATAAAACTACTCTTAGCGCACTAACAAAAAGTTTTCCTTGAGTGATTTTACTAACACGTTCCTAACCTCTGATCGTAATAAAAGCCCTTAAAAGAATTTGACTGCGCATAAACCTGACACGCATTCAAGAATTGCCATTTATTATTGATATGACATCATATCAATTAGTGGCGTTTTTGTATGTCTTTAGATGGTTCGCACCATATCGATACGCTACTCGACTAGCAGTATTTGACTACACATTTTGTAAATAGAAAAGTAATACGTAGCTTTTTTTTTTTGTATATAGTTTGATTAGGGTTTAAGGTTAGTGTTTATAATAAAAACAAGTATAGATAGATTTTAGTAGGGTTTATATTTTAAATCGAGACCCCAAGTTTCAGCATTTCAGCATCATAATAGAGTACAATTTTTTAATTATATAGTAAGTGTTTGAGATTTTCTATAAAACACTATATAAAATCAATTAATAGTAGTTATACT